CCAGAAGATGATGGAAATGAGATGGTGTTGCTGGATCTACAAGTTCCTCCTTGAACCTTCAATCTCCTTCTTCTTCTTCTAGCCTCCAAGAACACCAAAACACTCAAGAATGGCTCACACACTCACCAAATGATCTAGGGTTTCGTGGGTTAAGTTCTGGACAATGGGGGCTGGAAATGGAACCAAGAGGAGGAGAATAAGATGCTTAAATAGGGTGCCAAGTCCCCAATTTAGGGTTTCCCAAACCCTGAGCAACTCGTCGAGTCGGTCCTCCGACTCATCGAATAGGTCACTTAACCCGCGACCCGGAATGCGCTCCTACTCGTCGAGTCACCCCACCTACTCGACGAGTCTCCTTCTGATTTTTGAGGTTTTCCTTTCCTTTCTAGGTCTTCTGAATTCGGGGTGTTACAAACAACTTTATAGATGGTAGTTTCCATATTTTCCTATTGGTCAACGTCAATGTCTGTCTAAGAAATAAAAAGATTTGATGAGAAAATATCTAAAATAGCAATGTACTTACCATTGTTTGTTTTTCTGGTGTAAGCAACACACTTTCATTTATTTGTATATGATAAATTCACAAAATAAGCAACACACTTTCACAGTTGCTTAAATATAAACATTTCTGACGATATTTTAGCAAATATATGTTTAATTTCTCATCTCTTTATCTGAATGTTTTCATTTATTGCAGTATGGGGAGGGTGAAGCTGAAAATCAGAGATTAGAAAACATTGGAAATCGTAAAGTTATGTTTTTTCTAAACGAAGGAATGGAATCTTAAAGAAAGCCAAGGAGTGGAGGTAAGTAGTTTCACAAACCCTTATGGATGTGGGTTAGAGTTAGGGGGTAATTAGGTAATTTTACATATAATGCTATGTTGCAGTTCATGGTGGAGTTGTATCTCTGGTTCAAGGCTCTTATGAATACTATCATTACCTTCAAGATGGCTTTGATGACTCGGTGAATTTCTCCTTCTAAACCAACCATTCAGTCATTCACATTTGGAGAATAATTTAGAAGCCTTTGTTAAAAAAAAAAATCCCTTTTTCTAATCATTTTTTTTATAAATTAATAATACCAGGGGTGGGGTTGTGCTTACCGGTCTTTACAGACCATAGTTTCACGGTTTAAAATCCAACAATACACGTCTATTCATGTTCCTTCACACCGGTATGTATGACTTGTATCTTTTGTACCAAATCTTAAATAATAATATTTTATTTAAATTATTAATTATTCATTTAAGAAAGTTGGTGAAAATTGCATGTTTTCAGTGAAATACAAGAGTCACTTGTGGAAATTGGAGATAAAGACACTTCATTTATCGGGTCACGTGACTGGATTGGTGCCATTGAACTAAGCTTCGTTTTGGATAAATTACTCGGTGTAAGTTAACTAAAGGACAATTTTTTTTTATTGATTTTGCCTCTCAGCTATTTTCTGTAGTGATTATGTCATCATTTTTTATTGACTTATATAGCAGGTAAGCTGCAAGGTCATAAATGTCAGATCTGGAGACAAATTACCTAAAAAATGTGGAGAACTGGCTATGCATTTTGAGACCCAAGGAACACCCATCATGATAGGTGAGTCAAGAAATACCAACATACTTTGTTTATTATTATATAGCATTATTACATTTCATTTATTTCTTTGTATTATTATACATGGCATTGGCATTTGGCAGGTGGCGGGGTTCTTGCGTATACAGTTTTGGGAGTGGATTATAATGAAGCAAGCGGAGATTGTGGATTTTTGATACTTGATCCTCATTATACGGGAAGTGATGATTTAAAGAAAATAGTGAATGGTGGATGGAAGAAAGCGATTGACAGCAAGGGCAAACATTTCTTCTTGCACAATAAGTTCTACAATCTCTTGCTACCACTCATGCCAAACATGGTTTGATTTATGATTATTGATTGATTAGGCCATATTCCAAAAATACCCCTCTTTCTTTTTTTCTTTGGAAAAGGGCTGTTTTAGTCGTTTCGTATGCAAGAAAGTGTATATTGTTTTCATCTCATGGGTGGGTTATATTTCAATATTTGTAGAGGTAGAGCTGGAAGAAGATGCTAAGTCTGCACTGATGATGCTTACAGAAAAGGAATATTTGATGGTTGTAGATGCTTATACTCAGGTATTAGGATTAGGAATGCATTATTTGAGAATATGTTTGTTTGTTTGAATCTAACTTTTTTTTAATAAAGTGATAAATATTAACCATAGTACTGAATTCACTACTTCAGTCCCACATGTAGGTAATTGTCAAAACAAATTGATAATACTAATAAGCATAAAAGACAAATTTTCCCCTGGAGTCCAAAACAGGTTCAGGGTCGGTAATTGTTGAGGCTGGTATCAAGTTTGTTTTTTCATGCCCTCCTTTAATTGATTCTATCTGGTTCCTTCTTTACTTTCCACCTTAGGAATCTGGTACACAATGTGCATGCTCTATTGAAGACTTCTTGGAATGGGTTATAACAATATGGTACTTTTGCTTCATCCAAACATCCAAATCAAAAGATAGAAGGAAGCATCAGGTTTCATTATAGGTTAGGTCGATTTTTCATATTAATATTTATTTTTTCTCACAATTTCTACAACCATGATGCCTTTGGGGTGTTATAGAAAGAGAGCTAGAGAAAGGGTAAGTATGTTGCTATTTCCATGTCTATTATGTACTAATGTTTGTTGGAACATTTTTTTAGTTAATGAATTGGAAGAGAGATGAAGCTATTAGAGGAGATGGAAGTTTTTTAGCATTATGTTTATTGTTTGTGGAAAATGTATTTAAAATTTAAGAAGGTTGTTTTCAAAATTGTATAGATAATGAGATCATAAACAACAAACTATAATTGGGGAATTTCTTTTCAACATTTTATGAATATGGAATTGGAAAAAGGTAAAGATTTTAGGAAATTAGGACAAATTTGTTGTTTGGATGATTTTAGAAATAAAAGGCCTAATGGGTATTTTATGTCAATAAATTAGAAGTACACTGAGTTACATATATTGCATAAAAAGTTGGAAGTATTACTTCAAAATTAAAGGGCATAATAGTGATTATTGGATCAAAAGTTCCGGTTCACAAAAACCAAAACCAATTAAAATCAATTTATTTTTTATACATTTGTCAACCTATCCACCGGACGGGTATGACACTAGTTTAGTCCTTGTTTTTAACAAATTTTATGGGTTTTTGACAGAGTCCTTAAGGGTTTGTTCGATTTTAGATGTGTTGATGCCTAAAGCTTGTCAATTTTTTTTCTCTCATTTTTACCCTTAAGTTTACAAATTTGCAAAAAAAAGAGAAAAAAAAAACCTTAAGTATGGATCAAATTTGCAAAAGAAAAACATTAATTTAACATATTTTTTATGTTTTTACTGTAAGTATGTTTTCCAAATTTGACATGAAAATTCTTAAATTTGTTAAATTTTTACCGGTTTAAAATCTGCTATTACAGATGATAACAAAGACAAAAAAAAGTGACAAATTTTAGACATTAGCAGACAAAATATTGTTATAAGGATAAAACCGACAAAATTTGACAAATTTAAAGACTTTAATGTCAAAATCCTAAATTTTATTGTGAATGAGATTGCTTTGCATTATTCATGAATTGCCAAATTTCATAACAGATGTAAACATGCGTTACTAGCTAGAGCCTAGATGTTGATGTACACTACTTTATTATATGTTTAGGTCAAAATGAAATCGTTTCCCTTAGACCGTCCGGTATACCCGAGCACGAGAGGCTCCGTGGTTGACGTGACAACGAGAGTGGTTCGTGCACACCACCCCTATAAACTGTCATCCTTCGTCTTCATTGTCGATTGTGGTGGGCAGGACGAAGGAGAACGCCCAATCATTCTCTTCTCCTCTCTCTGACTTCTTGTTCTCCGACTCTTCTTTCTCTCTCTTTGTGGTCGTGGAGAGTACCCCGGTTGTTTGGGTGGTCGTGGTTGCTGATTTGGAAGCTCTCTACGACCCTTGCTCGTGGAGAGCATTACAGATGACCTTAATTTTGAAGGTCTACTTGTAATGATTCTCCTATAAATGTCAAATGTAAGGCTAAGTAAGGAGTGTATCTTTTCACAATTTCACTTTATTTGATTTTTTTTCCTCTTGTAAAGTCATTTTTTTTCTCCTTCGCCCCTAATGATAGGAAATTATCACTTTTTATTATTTTTTATTTTTTTAATTAAATCTATAAAATTATAATTTACTAATTATATAAGTATTTAATGTAATAAAAGAGGAGTATTTCATTAATTCAATAATGAAAAACATTTCATAGATAAAAAACGACAATTAAATAAAAAAACATTATATAGTCTAGTTGTAGTATTTTTATAATAATTATCTTTTTTTTTGCCCTCATAACCATGATACGTTCGTCTCCTGAAAGATAGTCGACGTTTTGAGTAGAAATTTCATATCGTGAATTTTTTGTCTTTCGTCGTGTGATTTTTGCTTATGTTATGGCTTTTTTTTCTTTCTTGGCCAATTTACCTTTCTCGAATTGCAAACGCGCTTCGTAATTCAAATTATATAACTCGAAGGTAGTTGCCGCCTTGTGTATGTCATCAACTTTGTCGGCTCCCGATGCACTAGACAAAGACCCTTTCTTTTTTGTCTTATCTTTACCTATCGAACGAACTATTTCTTCGAGTTCAAGCTCATCATTTTGGTTCAAGTCAAACACAGAAACCGATGAAGTTGTGAGAACAAAGATATGATTGCGCAGGGACAAGGCTTGAAAACTCAAACCTTGAATTAATGCTTAAGATCAATGTCTGCTTCTGATTATAAGTTCCAGTCAAGTCTGGCAAGACCAGTCGAGACTTGAAGATGAAGATCAACAAAGTACTTCAGGTATTAAATATGAGACTATGAGAATAATCAAAGTAAAGACAATAAATGAACAAGTAGAATATTTGAAAGAGTTTGATTTGAGAGAAAGATGCAAGTGAAGTAAATGTGAAAATATCTATCTTTGGAGGAACAATTCGTCTCCTATTCTTGGTTTCAAGAACATCGTTGTCGAGGAAGGAGAGCGCTCGTTTCTCGGCACGGTAACATTGTCGGAGTTTCTCTCCATCTTGTGGCGGCACTGGGCGGATGTTTTGGTTGGTACGACGCCAGGACATATCCGAATTACCTCTTTAGCTACCGCATCCCAGTCAGCGGTGCGAAGATACCCACGACGGAGGGCGTACCGTTTCTTCTGGTAGGCTTGGATCAATCCAAGTGCTTCATCTTGGGTCCAGCATGGTGGTGGAAATCTCCGGACAAGCTTCAATGACGGAATGTTGGAATTTCTTCTTTGCATAGAGAGGAAGAACACAATCAAGATGTGGGGCGCAAGAGAAGATAGAGAGGGGGGAGGAGAGGGGGTGTCATTTTTATTTAATATTTATTAAATAATTATAAAAATATTAAAAGAATCTTAAAAATAAGAAAAGAGGGTATAATAATTTTTTACTTTGCAAGGGATCAAAAATATAAGCAAACATGGACCATTAATCTAAAAAACTTGGGGTTTTGACAAAACCCAAAAAAATACATAAGAGAAGATCATTTTTACATTTTATCAAATAAATATGATATTAAAAAGTTTATAAAGAATAAACACTATATTAAGACAAAGCTCGAAAAAGAAAGGTTGAAAAAAGAAAAAAAAAACTTGTTTGACAAATTTACAATATCTCTATGTATGTATTAGTCCTGTATTATTTTCAAACGGCTACTTCAATGAATGTTTCACAAAAAGCTCCTGCCAAATTTACAAAATTCCCCTTGAAATAAAATCACGAACGCGTTTTAATCCTAAATAAATAACAGCTTCTTCAACCCACGCATACCTACAAAACCTCTGGATAAATCCATCGACTCGACAAAGAACAACCCACGAAATGTTGCTCCACCTCTTGGCGCCATTCATGGATTGATCTAATCTTTTGCTTCCATTGTAAGTTTCGTCTCTCTTGTTTTTCTTTTTTCTTTGTTTGATTCCACATATATATGATTCTTCACAACTGCGTAATCGTAAGATTAAAAAGAAATTAAACGAATTGCGCAATGCCCTGTTAATTCTTGTTCCTTACTGTTTTTCAAAATTTGACCTTTTTGCCCCTGCTGACCCTGATGTTATTTTTGTGATGGGGTTAGGGGGATAAATTCATAATACTTGGTTAGTTATACATGTTTGTCTTAAACACCTGTAGTTCGTATATGTATTAGTCCTGTATTATTTTCTGTACATCAAGAAATTGGTTCTCTTTCTTGCATTATGTTTTGCTTTTTTGCACTCTGTTTTTCAATTGTCAATCACAACCCATTGCTTCAAAATAAAATACACTATTCGCAAGTTTATAATATACTTTTTGGCTAGAATAATGTAACAAAAGCATTGAAGAGGAAAACAAACAGTGGCTTAATTATAGATAATAATTGATTGTATTATCAAGTAGGAGATGAACTATACAAAAGTGGACTGTGGAGGATGTATAATCCATCCTCTGATAACAGATTGGACTTCAACGATTAGACTTCAATTTGTCAATCCATCCTATTGTTGGGGGTAAAATGGTCCAAGTGTTTGAAACTTGCCAAAACAGCAGCCATGAGTTCATAAACCCCAAACAACTTTGTCAATCTGAGGCTAGGAACTTTGCATTTTTTTTTCTTTTTTCTGAGGTTTTCTGGATTGGCAATCTACTTGTAGCCTTTAAACTAAAAATATCATTTTAGATGTCTAATGTTGTGATCAACCTGCCATAATTTTAGTAGGAATATATCACTCTAAACAAAACACTCTTGAATAAAAAAACACACGCCAAGAAGATGAAACTACACCCCAATATACCATTCAAAACCGAGAACAGAGAAAACACCTGAAAAAATACCATGCTTTGTAGTAATGAAACCAATCTGATGTCTGTTGGTGATTTTATTATCATCAATGTTATTTAAGTGTAATGGGATTAGTTTGTTGACCAAAAATGATCTTGATAAATATTAAACAAGTAAGGAAGGTGTGGAGTACACATTTGTTTAAGTTTGATCAAGTTTCAAAGTACACTGTCATTTAGGGGCGAAGCCCCTGAACGAACAGGGGTCCGGGGCAGCGCCCCTGGGAGCGGGGTCCAAGGGGCGGCAGCCCCTGGCTGGGGTCGAGCTGCCAGGTCAGCGCGAAATTTTTTCCATATATCCGTTTTATGACAATTTTTATAGTTTTATGACAGTTTAAAACTGTCATATGACAGTTTTCAGACAAGGATCTAAAAGTTGGTTTTTGGTCTCATTTTCTGGTACATACGAAATATCATCAAACATTCTTTTCTTTGTTCTTGTCTCTCTCTGAGTCTTATCCGATTAAAGATTGGGAGTACCACCCAAATACTTTAATCTGAAAGTGAAACCACAATTCTCAGAATTTTCAAGGCTATTTTATCCCGATTTTCTTACAATGTCTACCCTCGTGGAAGGAAAAAAACACTCCAAACACATAAGATGTCCTTTTATGTAATTTTACATGTTTTAAAAGCTTTCAGCTACTTTTGCCGAACACTTATATAATAAATAAAAGCTACATCTACCGGCTACCGGCTAGTTTTGACGAACACGCCCTAGGACAATATTGTTGGAAGATATAATCTAGCCAAGGGCAATTTGGTCTTTATCTATTTATAAACAGTAATTACTAGTATGTCTTAATTATCCGTTATAGCAGTTACTAGGTTTGTATCGTTGCCATAGAAAAAGTGCCTTGAAGGGGTACTTTCTCAAAGTGTTGCAACGGTTATATATATATATATATAAGATAACACTCTCCCATGTAAATTTATTATCTTTAATTTATTGTTAATAAATTTAATTTTTAAAGTAAATGTATTTGATTTTTATATGATAAAATCTGTTTTCACATTTTCGCAAAGTATTTATGTTTTTAAATGAACCTACTCATATATATATATTATATATATATATATATTATATATATATATATATATATATATATATATATATTATATATATATATATATATATATATATTATCCTTGTATCAACGGTTGATTGAAGTTAATAAAAATAAAGATGGTTTGTATACGTTTCTCTGTGTTGCAAAGAAAACCCACTACAGTCCCCTCTTCTTCTTCATCTTCATAAATCTCCTGTACAATATTTTGTTAATTGTGGTTCTTGAAATATTTTTTGATCCAACAAATATATGGTCGGCCGATTAGCGATAAGCATTACCAAAATTAGTTGCAGAAGTCGCTATCATAATAGAAACAACAGTGATATTAGAATTTGCTTCTACCCATTAATTCTTAAACCTATAAACTAGCCGATTCTTCAACGTCAATAGGTAATTTCTTTTGTCAAATAGTTTTACTTAAAGTATTCAATTGTAACTTCGCTTAGTTAATTAGTTGATGTATCAACTTGTCTAATAAAAAACAGTAACATTGGTTTCATTCCTTTTAATCTTTTCATCAATGTCACAAAAAAAGGTTGGAATTGCTTGGCCATGAATCCATGAATGATTTTTAATGAAATCATGAAATATAATCTTAGATCAGTTTCTTTCTTTTGTCTTGATTTCCTGTTTAGTACATATAAAGTGATTCTTTAAAGTTTGTTGGATTATCTAGGGTTTGTTGGAGTTAGATATTTTGGTTTCATGCATGTAAGGCTTTGATTACAAAATACATGGCCAATTGGCCATAGGCAAAAGTGTTAGGGTAAGGTGAGATATTGTTATAAAGAACAATTTTACAATTTACAATCTAGACTTCCTTAATATCTCTAGGCACAATTCGATTGTATATCATGTAGACATTTCGTGTTTGTTTTTACTCTAAGCTCCTTTTCCTATCTTTTGAGAAGCTAGGGCTGATACCACTTGGTTAAATATTTTCAAGACCTGCATCTTGCAAGTTTTAACATTCCTGTTGAACTGGTGCCAAAAGCCATAAACAAATTTCCTTCCTGTTTGTTGCTGCTTTCAAGAATCAATATTTACATGTTAGTATTCAATTTGAGTTTGTGTTTGTGTTAATCTGCAAGCGTAATCATGAATTTTGTTGCCTTTGGGAATGATTTTAGGTCTGGTGTTTCAGGTTGCTTTATGGTATAGTTTTTACCATTTGAATTTTGTTGAATAGTTGGAATGATTAAAAATCGATTATGGTATTTATAGATAGGATTTTGTTTTTCACCTTAACCCCCTAAATCATCCATAAGTAATAGAAATTTCCAAAATCTGTTTTGTTTTTGGTTAAATGCAGATAAATTCCAAAATCTGTTATAATTTCTGTTTTGTTTTTCGGTTAAAACAGATTGTTGTTGGTTAACCATAGGTGTCCACTTTGTGTTCACACAGGTGTCCACATAAAGTTCTTCTATAATCTATAAGGCTAAACGGTGTAGACACATTTTTACCGGCGGCAATGTTTTAAAAACCGGTTTTTTAGTTGAACCGGTATAGTGACCGGTTTCCGGTTCAACTGGTTTAACCGGTTCGACCGCCGAGTCAACCGGTTTCTATAATTTTTATATTTTTTCCTATTTTTCTACACATACATACATATATAAATCATGAATTTAACGTTTACTAGTTCAAACATTAAAAATATACATAAAAATAAGTTGCAGATCAATCTAAATATATTAAAATAACACATAACTATAAATTTTAGTGTTTTACATCAATCCATATACGTCAAAAAGAAAATAAAATATAACACTGAAACAAAATATAGTTTTAGATGAATACAAACACATCAAAAAAACATTATAACATTTATCATATGTTTTATTTAGAGAAAACTAAATAGATTTGAAAAAAATCACCAAAGTTTATTATGCAAATGGTTCTTTCCCATGCGTTTTTATACGGTTTAACCGGTTCAACCGGTTTATTTTGACCAGTTCAACAGGGTTTTTCAAAAAACCGGCCGGTTCAATCCGGTTCAGAAATCGACATAAACCGGTGATAGTTGAACCGCTTTCTCCCACGGTTCACGGTCCAACCGGTTCGACCGGCCGGTTCAAACCGGTTTTTAAAACATTGACCAACGGTAGTCCGACGTGGACACCGTTACTGCCGGTGAACACGGCGCCGTACCCCCCATTTTACTGCCGGTGAGATACCGACGGTGAATTTGAAGAAATCAAACGTTTGGGCAAATGGCTTTATTACTGTTTTTTTGTTTATTTATTTTTTATTTAATTTTAATCTACAAATTTACATTATAATATATATATATATTATTATATATATATATATATATATATATATATATATTATATATATATAGAGGGTTGTAAACGAACTGTTCGTGAACCGTTCGGCGGGAAGTTCGTTTAGCATGTTCACGAACATAAACGAACGAACATGAACAATGTAATTTTTTAAACGAACGAACATGAACAAGAAAACCTGTTCGTTTAACCGTTTGTGTTCGGTTAACTTAAACGAACGGACATAAACAAGCCCCGTTCGTGTTCGTTCTGTTCATTTACAGCTCTCTCTCTCTCTCTCTCTATATATAATATATATATATATAATATATATATAATATATATTATATATATATCTTATCATTCATTTGAAAACACACATAATCAAAATGTCTTCCAACACTCCAAACTCTTCCAACCCAAATGCTTCAAACCAATTTGCATTTTTCTGTTACGATTCGACATCACCACCACCTTACCGGCCACAAATGGATCCATCTCAAAACCAAGCGTTTGTAGGCGGTGTTCTAAAATTCCAAATGCCAGAACAATTTCAATTCCAATCCCCACCACCCCGAATAACATCCCAACCGCCTTTCACACCTTCAACCGAAATTCTTTCCAATTCCGAACACAAAAAACAACCTCAACAAAAAGGGGGAAGTCCGATCCGACAAGATGGACACAAAAAGAAGAAATCGAGTTAGCAAAAGGCATGGGTCGACATATCCGAAGATGGTGGCACGGGAAAGGGTCAAAATCATGATCAGTTTTGGTTACGTATCACAGAGAGGTTTTGTAAGGGAATGGGTCGAGATCCAGATTATCGGACTTCCGACCAATGTAACTCAAAATGGAATCTTGTTAACAAACTCGTGACACATAGAAACGAAATTTACATAAACTTTGAAAAGAAATGGACTAGCGGAGAAAATGAAGCGAGTGTTGAAAAAACGCACGCTACATTCCAAGATGATATGATAAAGCCTTTTAAGTTTATTCATGTGTGAGAAGTTGTCAAAAGAAGCATTAGGTGAAGGGAACTTGCAACACATGAAGAAATTGTTAATCCGCCAAAAAGAAGTCGAGCATCTTCATATTCGAGCTCACAACAAGTGTCATCGGATGATCATGTAGGCGTTAATCTTAATGATGATAACGACGACATCGAAGAAATACGCCCACCGCCTCCTCCAATGGGAAGGGACAAAACAAAAGCTCGTGCAAGAGGAAAAGGGAAAGCGACATCTTCAAGTTCATCGGTCGTAACCGAGCGGTCAGCTATATGGGAGGAAATGATGGCACAAATGACACAACTGAATTCAACTTTGGAAATACATATGATTGAAACCTTCTGACTCAAAGAATATTCGTTGTTAATGCAAAATGTGAGGCACCTTGACCCCGAAGATCAAGAGGCGGATAAAGCGGTGAAGATGTCGATTCGCAAAAAATATAAGCTAAACCACAATAAAATTTAGTTGTTATGTTTTTTTTTAATCTTTCACTTCATAGTTTCTTTTTTTTTTCTTTTTTTTCTTTTTAAGGTTTTTAATGTAATTTTTTAATTTCATGTTATTTTTAATTTTTAGGATTTCTAAAATGTAATTTTAATTTTATGTTATTTTTTGTTTTATGTTATTTTTAATTTTATTATGGTTTTTAAAAAAGTTCTTATTTTTTATTGAAATTTAAAAAAAATATCCATAGGTAAACTATTTACCACACCGTAGTTCGTAGGTAAAAATTGTAAAAACTGTAAAAATTGATGTAGCGCCTACGTGACACTTTTTACTATTGGCAAAAATTATACCACACCCTTTCGCCTAAGGGTGTAAAGGAGTAGATCTCTTCCAACTAGACCTGGCAATTTGATACACGACACGATTAACACGACACGAACACGATACAAGTTTTCCGTGTATGTGTTTTAGAAATTCGTGTTTCGTGTTTATTCGTGTCTGACACGTATTTTAAATTCGTGTTTCGTGTCTTACACATGTCAACACGAATTTACCTGTTTAGACACGTATAAGACACGATACAAATTCGTGTTGACACGTGACACGTACAAACACGTATAAATACGTATATACACATATATATACTTTAGGGTTGAATTTTATATTTATAATATATTAGGGATCAATTTCGTAAAAGTCAATAATTAGTTTATAGCACTAGCTTAAAAAAATCATTAAATACGTGTCGATTTGTTTTTTTTTTCGTGTTTGCGTGTAACACAGCTAAAAAACGTGTCTATTCGTGTCGTGTCACGTGTCACACGAATTTTTTACGTGTCGTGTTCGTGTTTGATACCCCAAACACGTTTTATAATTCGTGTCGTGTTCGTGTTTAACAAATTCGTGTCGTGTAAATTCGTGTCTGACACGAATACACGACACGCAGACACGGATTGCCAGGTCTACTTCCAACCCCCATATAACCTTCAAATCAACTTTTTTCTCTTCTCTTTCTTCTATCTTTCCCAAACCACAAACATGGAAATAGTATTTTTTCCAACCCAAACACCGGAAGCTGTCGATCCTAAAAAAAATTTCAAAAATCAAGGGTGTCCATATGGTAATAAGGTAGGTTCGATTCTAATTGACTATTTTACCTCTTTTATAAATCCAAGTTTAAAATCACTTTGACAAATACCCAAATATGATATTCGTCTATGCCCGCAAAAGAATTGATGACAACTTCTAGTTTATCGGGGCTAATGACGTTAATTGATAGAAATACGAACTTAAAATGTTAATTTTTATTTTTTTATTTTTTTTTAAATTTGATATTTTAAAAGTTTATAAAAAGTAAATATAATATTTTGAAATTAGGTTGCACAAATGTAATTTTAGTTTAAGAATGACGCATACAAACATTTTACAAAAATTTTATGTTGCTTTAGAAGAAGTTGACGCCTACTAATTAGCAATTAGGCTATATGACGTGGGAGGGTTTTGTCATTGGTAAAAGCCTATGCGGCATGTTTACCGGTGTTGAAGACCATATCCTAACATTTTTTTGCCAATGGTAAATCTCATATCTCATATGTGAACTTTCACCGATAGCAAATTTCAATGGTAAAGCTTTTTCTATTTCTTGATTGGTCATTGCAATTTTCTTTTCTTTTTTCTTTTTACTTTTTAAAATAATTACCACTATATATACCATTGGTAAAAAAAACCACCACACCCCATTCATAGACAAAGTGTGGCAAAAATTGTAAAACCTTATGTAGCGCTTATATGACACCTTTTTATCATTGGCAAAAATATCATCACACCCTTTAGCCCTTTAGCCTTAGAAACAAACAAGGACAATATATGGTCGCCCTATTAGGGGTAACCATTACCAAAATTACTTGCAAAGAATACTACTGTAATAAAAAGCAACCGGTAATATTAGAGTTCTACTTCTAGCATTAATTCTTAACCTATAACCTAACCGATTCTTCAACCTAAAATGTCTACCGCCGTCAATAGGTGATTTTTGGGATTAATGTTATAAAAGGATAACCACATTTTTTAAAACGTGTGAAAGATACCAACCAACTAAAAAACACCACTAAAAGGTAATGGGAATTGATACTTTAACCATTTTTTTTTATAGATCCACATATTTTTAAATGAAATTGTCTATTATGCCCTTCATTTAACAAGGATTAGAAAATTAATTTTAAATGTAATCCTATCCTTAAAATATCGTGAATATCTCTCTCACCATAAAACCACAAACCTGAGTTTGACGTGATATGAATTAATCTAAAACAGTTAAATATGTTACAACCATTCTCCCTCTCTGAATCGTCATCTTCTGTGCCATCTTCTAATGTCCTCGTTTCCATCTTTCTTGAGGAATCAACAATGGTGATTGGTGAAGTAGTTTGCCCTTATGGACATAGTACAATAACAGGGGAATGGATGGTGTGGGGTGAAAAACAAAAATGAAACAAAACTGGATCATATCAACGGGAATTCTAGGTCAATGTGAATCAGTGGTGCTGGAGCGAGATGGAGAACAGAAGAAGCAATAAGAGATGTATTCAGTTCACTTACCCTTTGACCATTTGAGAGTGAGGGGAAGAACCGAAGAAGCAGTGGCTAGAGAGTGAATAAGCAGTGCCTGAAGAAGCATTAACGAAGGAGTAGAAAATATTGTCATTCCCAGTATGCAGTTTGGAAATTGTATTTTTCTTTCTCTATTAATTATTAATTAAATTAAAGGGTATTAATGTCAATATATTAAATTTTCAGTGGAACGAAAACTGTCGGTGGCAAAATCACGACCCAAAGGTAATGAGCTTTTATTTTGCTTTTTTAAAATACCAAGATAACACTATTCACATGAGTTCAATACCAATCATCTTTCAATTGTGTCACATCATCGTTTGCAATACCACATCACCATTAGCAATAAACACTCACATCAATGAAATATCAACGCTCTTTCAAATGTGGCCCCACTGACATATATATATATATATATA